CTTATTTATTCTTTATTGTGTTTTCTTATTTTGAACGAGTGATGAATAAAATTTTTGTGGCATGACTGTCTCATCATTACCCTTGTTTTAAGTCTTCTGCAGGACACGATCATGATACACCTCTTTCGCTTTAATCCGTTACCGTTACGGTCTATCAAAAGCCTAGGTACAGCTGAACACAGGCCTCCTCCACATATGGTCTAGATTTAGATTTATTTAGTTTATTTGCCTCTGTTGCCTCCTACGACAGCCACGGGACGATGTCAGGCAGGTTCTTACTCCGCCACTGCACGGCGACTTCACTTTATTTATTTATATATTTACGCATGTATGTCGGTTTAGGGTACTCAGAAATTGGCCCCTTTTTAATATATGGCCAGTAAAAAAAATTATGCATAGTATTAGGTTCTGTAAAAGGGACATTGTTCACAAGAACCAGATCTGAATTTAATTTCGCAAGAATATTTTATATAGTATCAGCTTAGATCCCAGAGTGAATAAAATTATTATTTTTCTGCAACGAATTTGCAACAATACTACAAAATTTTTACTATATATTTTGGTTATATATACAGCGGCAGCAGACAGTGTTACTATATAAACTTTTATTACTTCTTAACACTTAAGAGACATAAATAACATACGGAAGATATTATATTAGATTCTTATAAGGGCTTACAATAAGGGTGACAAATGAACACATAGTCTACCTTATAGTAAATAAATGCTATGATCCATGGCCATCTTCATCTATCCCATACATTTTTACTGGATAAGAGGCATTCCATCTTAACAGAACAGCGCGTGAACATACCAATCTCTCGATAGCGGTTGTATACTCTATGAACAGATGACAGGCTTAGATGCAATGTTCGAGCCACAACACGCTGACTAAATCCAGAATCCAGCAATGCCACCACTTAGGCGGCTTCTGTGGGCGATGTATCCGTATGTTTTAGGATATAAAACTTTTTTCAGGCGTCTTAAAGTCACAGTAAACAAATTAAACAAATTAAAATCGTTAAAGATAAACGCAAATTTTTAGTTTTTAAACGTGTAATGGTCTCCAACTGTAGACGCACATTTGTCTCAAAATAGTGATTCATTTCATTTAGAGAATAAACAAATGAAATTCTAATTTCGAATGAATCTTCGTTACCATTGTAATGGCCGGATGAGTTCAATCGTTTTTTTTTTCATGGAATATTTTTTTTAGGTGTTTTAATTTTTTAACAAATTAAAACGAAGGTGTTTAGATTTTTTTTGATGAGAAGTATATTTAAAATCTTTTACAAGTGTAAATTTTCTCGTAATGTATTCTTCAACAGGCTTAAAGGTAAGTCAGGGCTTCAAACGCAATTAGAGCTTCAATGGTGCCCATAGAAATCGACAAAGTGAATACTTAAGCCCTAAAGTAGATATTTCAGTTTTGTTTTGCTATTTGTCGAACATATGAAGGAAATTCGAAGACGAGTACACTTACGTGCGCCGTGAAGAGTCGACTCTCTTCTCCGGCCTGTGCTCTAAAGTCTGATGTCTAACTTTTCTCCATTAATATAACATAACATAAACACTCACGCCTGTCACCCAGAGGGGTAGGCAGAGACTACAGACTTCCATTTGGCACGATCCCGACACACCTCTCTCGCCTCCTTCACATCCATACACCTACGCATACATGCTTTTCTCCATTAAATTCTTTACATACGAGTATTTTAATCATGTAGGTGAACACGAGTCAACATTTATTTTTATGAGAATTTGTTTTTTCTCTTTAGCTTGGTATTTACGTAAAATTACCAATGATTTTATATGATTTACACATATTTTTTAAATGATCTAGTCTGGGTTTACATATTTATTGAATCGTAACGAAGACAATACAATAGCAAGCTATTTTCGGATCGTAGTCCTCACTTGTGCAATTCCCTGGCTGTCCAACTTGCACTAGCACCCCCACTAAATCTGTGGAGTTGAATATATTTCTACTGTATTTAATTTTTCTCCTTATTTCTTAATTTGTAATAAGTTATAAGAAATGTAATAAATTAAAAAAGAAGAGTTATTTAACGCTCTAAAACAGTAAAGTTCAATAAATTATAAAAGAGAATAACTTAGTAAGTAATAGGTTGAAATCCAGTAACGAGAAGCCCACTAACTCAACATTATGGTACGGTAATTACTGTGAATCTGAATTAAGTTTTAAATTTAATTTACAAGAAAAATTTTAATCGAACTTCAATGACTTTATGCAAGAAAGAGCTAAGACAACTGACCTAAAATTCAATATAAAAACGGTCTTGAGAAGTAAGTATACATGTTTTTTTTTGATAAGTTATTTTACGAAATAATTAAAATTTGATTAATTAATTTCTTCCTATTATCGTAGAATAATTACTTAAGCTCACCTAAACCTGCAGACAATCTTATCAATGCTGTTGATGAGGATTTGGTGTACAGAGAGAAACTTCAAATGTAGATTCTGCTTTTCGTTAAATTTAGTCACTATTTACTAGCTTGATAGTAAGTTTACGCTTTGCATTTTACAATCTTATAAACTTACAATATAGTTTTCGCCTTGTATTACATACCACTTTTTTAGCTATAATACAATGAAATTAAATTTGCGACATATAATTTTATGTTCATATAATGACAAGTTAATATTAAATTATAACCGAAAACTTTATTACCTACTTAGTGCTCGTCCGGTAATAGTTTATTTTCTACCGACTTCAAAACGGAGCCGGTACTCAATTCGACTGTATGTTTTTCAGAACTTTTTTCTGGGTGAACCGATTTCGATGATTCTTTTTTTATTTGAAAGCTGGTACTTCTCGTGTAGTCCCATATAAATTTGATTCAAGTTTGACCAGCAGTTTTTCAGTTATCCTTAATAATGCATATATAATTGACTTCGATTGCATTGACGGTATTCTCATCTGCCGATTTTTTTTTCTGGGTGAACCGATTTCGATGATTCTTTTTTTATTTGAAAGCTGGTACTTCTCGTGTGGTCCCGTATAAATTTGATCCAAGTTTTACCAGTACTTTTTGAGTTATCCTTAATAATGCATATATAATTGACTTCGATTGCATTGATGATGTTCTCATCTGCCGATTTTTTTATTTGTCGAACGGTAAACGGAAAAACGGTAAAGGGTGGTTGAGAAGAGCATCGTATTTCGATTCATAGTATTTCGAGGTGGTCCCATTTTTATAATTTGGTGATGTCCGAATTAAGATCTTCGGCGAAATAAAACGGAACTATAACACTCGAAAGGGTACACACTAAAAAGCTAAAAACAAAATTATTTCTATGATACAACTTTTGATCTGACAATGAAGTTATTAGGCACCGGAACTCCGGAATAAAACATAGCATCCTAGCCATTGATAATGATTGATGATTTTAACGGTATATCTTTCATTCTAATTGCGCTACTTGAGGTGTATGAGTATATGCGTGGTCTTCATTGTCGGAAGACAGATTTCGTAACCTCGTCATTTCTTTCAACGATTTGTCGTCGTGTGGTTTATTCAATAATTTGTTGGCGTCCAAATCTGATAAAGCTATGCCTTCCAAACTTTTAACACGACTTAGTGCCACATATATTTGCCCTTTTGCGAAGTTTTTCTTTCCAAGGTCAATCACAGCTCTTTCGAGGGTCGTACCCTGTAGTTTGTGAACTGTAACTGCCCAGCTTAATATTAGAGGCAGCATACGGCGCTCCACATCTCCGTAACCCCTTACTGCCTGAAATGTAGTACTTGATGGAGGTATGGGTACGCAACCATTACTATCTTTTAGCCTGCGACCGATAGTTTCGTCAAATTAAACGTACACGGCTTCTGGTAGCTCTCCATCCTCTAGTTGATCTCCCCTCAAGGCCGGCCATTTGATTTTTTTTTATTATACCCATAGCTCCATTTACTAGCCCTTCAGAGACGGAGATATTGCGTCTCAACATCACTCGAGATTCGACGCTAATTCTTATCGATGGCAGAAGACCACCACAGTTATTGACGTCTTTGGGAATCACGTTCTCTGGTGGTTTTCTACCATATGTCGCTACTTCACGCGACTCATCCACTGCGTTGATTAAATAAGTTCGGTGCAGCTTTGCATTTTCCTTGGTTATTTTGTCGTTGTAATCGTCGGCTTGCCTGACCGTGGGAAAGATACGAACGGCGACTCCATCCGCAAATTCACCATTTATAGGCACGTGGCGCCGCTCGCATAGTAATTCCAGCTGAGCCGTCGTCAGTTCACCTACCCGTAAGCTGTTCAATAAATCGATGAATTCGCTATCATTGCGCTGTCGCATGTTTATGGTCAGTTCACAAAAAGAAAACTGATGCCACAAATTGACCTCCACCGAAAACCACGATGGCTGCACAAAACACCAATTCCCTTTCACTGGAGGAAGCTGAAATATGTCACCAAATACTAAAATGTTGACTCCACCGAATAACTTCTCGTTGTTTTTGTATTCTTGGAGTCTTAGGTGAATTATTCTTAAGTTCTCATATGAGACCATAGAAATTTCGTCTATGACTGCCAATTTATATAGCGCCATTTACGCCTTTCAGTCTCGAGTCTTTGACCTGTAATTTTTTTGTATGTCATAGAATTTTTTTTTCAATCGGAAGCAAGAAAATACTATGTAGCGTTTTGTCAAAAATTTGACGAGCGGCAACCCCGGTTAACGACCCAACTTCCACAAATTTAGGCTTCAGCAGTATATCTACTGTTGGTGCGTAACAACGCTTAATGTGCTCCACGATTAATTTCAGCAGAAATGATTTACCACTGCCTGCACCGCCCGTGATAAAAAAGTAACAGCTGGCTTTATTGACAATGCAAATCGTTTTCGATTGCCGTTGAAACTTTCTGAAATAATTCCTTCTGTTGGATATTTAATCCTCGAATGCTTCCTAGGAACAATTCATCTGATATGACGGCTCGTTCTTCCATGTCTTCACAAAAGTTATCATCGTCATGTAAAATTTTTTTCACCAACACATAACATGGAAGCATTGCCTATATCGGTTTCACGCGCAACATTAAGCACGGTAGCTTGCGCAACAGCTTGTTGAATAATTAATTCGGCATGACCAATTTGTTCTGAACTGATGTCACCCTGTAACGGGCGAAGATCCCCTTTTCGTCTTATAAAACAGTCTTCAGCGGTTTCATTTTCGAAAAGTAATTCGCCTTCATTACGAAATGGTATATGGCATACTAATAAACTGTAATAATATGCTTCTTTGTCACTATTAATTGTATAATAGCGGGTACGTAACACTGCCGGTCTATTTCTTACACGCAATCTCGTATTGTCCTGCAATCTGATATACCTCTCTGGCGTAATATCTTCGTCTCTCAGTTCCGCATCCCCATTGTCCTCTGACCATGTCGTGTTAGAGACGGTTTCAAAACGGACGGCAAATTCCGCAAGGCTTAAATTCTCCAGCTCGTTTGGGCGTAATACATAACGATCAAAAATATTATTGTAAATACTGGTTTCATCACTATCAAATCTCAGGAGTCTGTAACGTTCCTCCGGCCTGCAACTATTCACAAAAACAGTCTTTCGCGACGACATTTTCAATGGCAAATGGCATAATCTGTAAGCGCATTCGGGCGCACTCACCAAGCGTTTATTTAAAATAGTCATTGATATTGAAAACAATTGTTTCCAAACATCACCACCTTGTCTCTTAGCATTCGAAATAGCTTCTCGAATTACATCACCTGTGTCATGTGGTTCGCATTTACTGGCATATTTTGCGACGTAGTAGGCCACAGCGGTGACATTACCACACGGTTGCACGTCAATATTTCCCTTCCATAGATTTAAAAGAACTGCATTGTAATTGTTTACCATGGTTTCATTTGAGGTTCGTTTCAATATACAAAATCGTCCATTGTTAGCAAGTGCTTCATCTGGTCCAAGACAAACGGTGTTAACACTTGCTGGCTTTGGAAAATCAAATCGACAACCATCAGTTTGGCGATTTTTTTTGCATGTCGCAGTGTGTTTATGAATCGGTAAATCCTCAACTAATTTGCGCAACACAAGGTCATTAGGAGTTAATGAACATGAAACCACCCTTTCAATTACAGCAACTCCTTCTGGAGTGGTGAAATTCGGAACATTACTACACCAGACTAACATATGCAGATGTGGGCTACCGCGGTTTTGAAACTCCACTCGGTACCAAAAATCTTCAATAAGACCACCCAAGCAATCTTTATTTCTCTTTAAGAATCGCATGAGAGCGTTAACACGTACTGTGAACTGTCGTGCTAACACTACCGGATGTTTTTGCACTACGTTCAAGCGCTCCGGGAATAACAGGCGATCGACGTCATCGATATCACGTCCATCAGCGATAAGCAAGGCTTTTATCATGTCTGGCCAATTTAAATCATTGCAGGAAAATGTTAAAAACCATGTGGGAGGCCCTAAAGTTCTAACCATGGCAATCAATTCAGAGCAACATTTCTGCCAATATGATGCCGATCCTCGAATACTTCTCATAGTGAGATGCATATTATCTACAAGTCCCTGTGGTGTTTGCTCTCCATGACCTTGTCGCATCCTACATGGCACAGATACGCTTGATTTTGCACGAAAATATTCAACAATGGATAGAGCATAAAATAAATAATCATTTCTGTTGAACCTCTTGTCAATACTCATTACCCGGTTTTGAAAGTAATCAAGGGGGTACACGCATTTTCTCTTTCCTCGCCAAAACCATTCCCGCCATTTGGAAAAAGAAAATACCAACATAATTCCTCCATACGGCGTTCACGTTCCAAATTCAAGGGAGGTGCAGTTTTCCTTGTGATTGCGGCCAATCTCATTGTATCATCGGTTGAAGAGCTATTCATATTAACAACATTTTCTAAATTAGGTACGTTATCGTCTATATTTTGGAGCATACCTGTTGATTCGATATAAATGGTGCTTAAGGAGTTATGGACTGGTAATGGCAACTGAAAATGGGTTGATTTTACCGGAACTGTTTTTTGGATAGACTGAATGACTTGTGTTGTTGTTTGGAGGGTATTACTTGTTTGTATTATTGGTTGGAGGGAATAGTTTGGTGTAAATGTTGGACTCTCTAACCTTGACGAATGTTCCAATATGGGCGTAATCGTTTGTATTTGGGAGTCTCGAGCTGTTTGTATTATCGGTTGGAGGGAATCGTTTGGTGTAAATGTGGACTCTCTAACCTTGACGATTGTTCCAATATTGGCGTAATTGTTTGTCTTTGGAAGTCTCGAGCTATAACTAATGATGTTAACGAGAATACATTAAGATTATCTCGAAAGTTTCCTTCTGGCACTTTTTTTGGCGACACAAATAAATTGCGATGTAAAATAGCATGCAAATCATCCAGTTCACTAAATCGCATGCAACAAGCGGTACCATTTATGGGAGCGGAAGCCCCCTTGGGACCCCTTGCATGGGAATCAAACAAAAAGTAAGTTTGATTGTCACCTAAAGTTCTGCAATGCACTGCTATCGATATGGCGTTTGCTGTAAGTATCCCATTGGAGTGTTCTCTGAAAAAACTTAATAATGCATTTTTTAAATTAGGAAATCCATCGGAAGTATTATCATTGTCTATGTGGCCATTATGATTGGTTTCCTCAAGTACGGTGATCACTAAATTTTGTCTATTATATATAAGTCTTGGACTAAGATCTGAAACAGCAAGGTACTCAGGATTTACTTCGCCGGGCGCAGGATTATCTCTAGCAGCGATGCAGTCATTATAGTATTTATCGCCAATAATTACAATGTAATCAATATCACTTTTGGCCCACTTGTTTGGATCTAATACACTAAATGCTGCACAAGCATCAGCCGCTATCCCAGTACATTGCTTACCCCGAGATAAATTAAATCGTAAATCACCTTGATTAAATGATCCGCGTAATATTGCCTTGTTGTCATTTAAAGTGATATAATGTTGTGATAAAGTTTCAGAAGCAACGCCATCCTGTTCAGGAATAGAATTTTCAGCTATTTGTAATATATGAGGAATATTTAAAGTAGTTTCAAAATGTACCTGAACATCGCTGTAAAGATGGTTATTGGAAATTAACCAAGTTAATGCTCGATTCAGTCTTTGCATATCCACGACGAATTCTTTAGAACATGAAAGGTTCTCGAGACTTTCCACTACCAAAACTAAACCAGCTTGATTTGGTGTCAGTGGTAACTGTTCAGCAATTTCCACAACATCCTTTGCAAATAGAATGACCTGCCCTTTATACCAATTTTGACTGAACCGGTTATTAAGTTTTACAATCTTTAAAAACGGTACGATGCGGCTTAAAAATCGTTCTTCAACGCTCGTCAAATTGACTAATTCAGGCGGTACTTCTGCGGGCATCATTTTATTCCAATATGCAGTTGTTGGAATTTTTCTTTTCCTAATATTATTGCTACATCGAGAGCACGTAGTTATTGTACCTAAAGCAACCAGTTCTTCAGGTAATAGTATACTATACATATTTGCTCGTAAATTGGAACGCTGTTGAGGATAAAGGCTTCTTTTACAAACGGCGCATGGTACATCAGCAAAAATATTAATAGCCGCTTCAAAAGATTGTTCATTTGTGATGTCCCTACAAGCTTGATTAGCTTGTTGCATTCTACTAAGTCGATCTGAACGAGTTTCAGGTGTTTCGTTTGATAAGCGATCGCGAATCAATCCGAGTCGGTGGGCACGTTGCTCTTCCGTCTCATTCGATAGACGATCGTGGATCACACCAAGGCGGTGAGCACGTTGCTCTTCTGTCTCGTTCGATAGACGATCGTGGATGACGGCGAGGCGGTGGGCACGTTGCGCTTCCGTCTCATTCGATAGACGATCGTGGATCACACCGAGGCGGTGAGCACGTTGCTCTTCCGTCTCGTTCGACAGACGATCGTGGATCACACCGAGGCGGTGAGCACGTTGCTCTTCCGTCTCGTTCGATAGACGATCGTGGATCACACCGAGGCGGTGAGCACGTTGCTCTTCCGTCTCGTTCGATAGACGATCGTGGATCATGCTAAGGCGGTGAGCACGTTGCTCTTGCGTCTCATTCGATAGACGATCGTGGATCATGCCAAGGCGGTGGGCACGTTGCTCTTGCGTCTCGTTCGATAGACAATCGTGGATCATGCTAAGGCGGTGAGCACGTTGCTCTTGCGTCTCATTTGATAGACGATCGTGGATCATGCCAAGGCGGTGGGCACGTTGCTCTTGCGTCTCATTCAATAGACGATTGTGGATCACGCCGAGGCGGTGGGCACGTTGTTCTTCCGTCTCATTCGATAGGCGATCGTGGATCAGGCCGAGACGGAGAGTACGTTTTTCGATATTTTCCCTGTACAAAACTTTTTTCATGTAAGCCCGCATTATTGAAAGCCTATTTTTGCGCTCTTCACAAGTCTCTTTTGAAATGTCAATTGAGGTAGATTTCCTCCTTTGAGATAGACGTTTCTCCCTTTCTTCGTTTGTCTCATTTAAACGGTGCGCGTTTGCTAGGTCTACCCATTTTCAAACAAATAAAATCAGTTATCGAACTTCAGAATCACTAAAAATAGAAAAATAAACAAAAATTTTAACAAAATAGAATACCGACTTCAAAACAAAATATTTTAAAACAATAAATGCACTAAAAATTTTAAAAATAATTGCGTATTCTTGTATCTACAACTTACAATCAACTTATTTTTTCTACTCAATGTACGATCTATGCGTTTACCACGCAAGAAGGTAGGTACCGACTTAAACTTCACATCTAACTCAACACATATCTATGATTCACAAACAATTATCAAAATATTTTTTAGAGTTCAACTAAGCAAAAATTTTCAAATATATGTGTAGACTGCTTAAAAGACAATCAAATTATTAGGATAATATAATCTACAATTATTGTCATTTTTGGAGTCGGTGTCAGCCAAGGAAATACGACAATGTACCTAGCAATAATAATACGAGAATTCCTGGAAATACGCTTTAATACGAAAATATGGTGTGACAATACCTATGTAACAACATTAATACAATAAACAAAATACCGATAACCTAATTAATCCTATTTACAAATTAACTTAAATACAATGTGATGTGACAATACCTAAGTAACAACCTTAATACAACGAAATACCAAAAATAATTAACCTATTTCCAAATTAATTTTAATACAATAATATTCTGTGACAATACCTATCTAACAACCCTAATATAACAAAATAGGTACCAATGACATTACCTATCTAACAACCTTAATGCAACAAAACACCAATACCTAATTAAACCTATTCATAAATGAACATTAATACGACAATATGCTGTGATAGTACCTAATAACCTTATTACAAAAAACAAAATACCAATACCTAATTAAACCTATTTATAAATGAACATTAATATGACAAAATGCTGTGACAATACTTATCTGTTAACCGTAATACAATAAAATACCAATACTTAATTAAACCTACTTATAGACGAATATTAATACGACAATATGCTGTGACAATATCTAGCAACCTTTATACGAAAATGTAGCTTTAATAATAAACATAAAGAATTACAGTAAGAAAGACGGTGTAGAATGAAAAAGAATCGGAATCGGTTTATAATCAAGTAACTCGTATATGTTCTTTTTCTTGACTGGCGAATGGCCGGCGTACGCGTTTGGCTCGCTCACTTCTGTAGCCTTCCCACCCTCCTTCCCCGCGCCCGCGTCGATAAGCCCGCGCCGAGTGCTGCGTCTATGTGTGTAAATTGTGTATGCCAATTGTTATGTATGTTATGATTATAGTAAGACATCTCACGTTTAAGTAGTTAGAAATATACCTTGGCTGACACCGACTCCAAAAATGACAATAATTGTAGATTATATTATCCTAATAATTTGATTGTCTTTTAAGCAGTCTACACATATATTTAAAAATTTTTGCTTAGTTGAACTCTAAAAAATATTTTGATAATTGTTTGTGAATCATAGATATGTGTTGAGTTAGATGTGAAGTTTAAGTCGGTACCTACCTTCTTGCATGGTAAACGCATAGATCGTACATTGAGTAGAAAAAATAAGTTGATTGTAAGTTGTAGATACAAGAATACGCAATTATTTTTAAAATTTTTAGTGCATTTATTGTTTTAAAATATTTTGTTTTGAAGTCGGTATTCTATTTTGTTAAAATTTTTGTTTATACTCTAATAAAATCGGTTTGACCTCGTGTTCCCGCGTGACCTCGAGCCACGCATAGTGTGCGAACGAGTGGCGCGGGAAAGTGGAGGCGAACTTAGAATTTGAGCTGAGGTAGTATAGGCCCTTAAAATGTGCAATATTTTATGGAAAACTTAAACTTTTGTAAACTACAATAATTCTCTAGTTAAATAACTATGTAAAAGTTAAACATTACCAAGAGTATTGGTGCCTGAAGATCGACATCACAAGCTTTGTGTTAACTTTGTCGAACTTCTGCCTCTTCCATACTTTAAACATGCCTCATTCTTTTATAACAAAGGCGATTATGTTTTAATAAATTTTGAGATAAGTTCAACTAATGGGATAAAGTTCTTAATAGTGTTGACATTGTAGATGCGGTGAATACGTTTTATAACATTGTATATAGTATTCGTGATAAATATGCTCTCTCGTCATTTAAACGCAATAGTAAATATTCACAATGGTTTATCCGTGCTGTTATAAAATAAAATTAAAAAAATCAATAAGAAGTTTAAAATTTATGGTAATTTGAGAGAGAAA